CATGGATTAACAAAAAAACAAAAACAATTCGATCATGGATTAACAAAAAATCGATACAAGTATTACAAAAAAATCTATACATAGGAATTACAAAAAAAAAAAAAAAAAAAAAAAAAAATTAACCGTACGGACTCGCCGATTCACTGTTCGGATTCGCCGATTCTGTACAGTGAATCGGCGATTCACTGTACAGAATCGTCCGATTCTCTCTAGAACCGGACGATTTCCGATTTTTTAGGCGATCCGGTCCCCTTTCACGATTTCCGAGTCGAACCGGGCGTTTTTTAAACGCTGGTTAGACCCATACCCACACTTGTGTGGAGTATAGCCGCTCAGTCTCGGATAAGAGCTGGGCCCATGGACACCCACCCCTAGTGAGATATGAATAGTAAATCGTCAACCTGGAAATCACTGCTCATGAGAGATGGACCATTTAATATTTTACCAATAGTATTTAATTTAATTTCAAAATACCCCCAAAAATTTACATAACTATGAATTGAAATAGTTACAAACGTTTAAAATGTTAAAAAAAATATCTTACAACTAATTTCTTGATTATAAAAATGTCAGGGGCAAACCGTGTCATTTCCCCATTTAATAAACCGTATAGCTTTTGGACCAAACCGCAACCTATTTTCCAACGAAACATGATCAAAGGCGGTATGGGCAGTTTTGTCACCATGGGCAACTAGATATTGTCATTTAAGATTTATTGAGGGTAATTTCCTCCGTTTGACAGTTTCAACTGCCCTATATAAACTTCTCTCTCAGAAAAAAAACTCAGGGTACTCAGTCATGGCGAGGTCCAAGCCCAAGCTATCTTACATCTCAGTACCAGCCCAAAACATCCCTTCTCTTTCTACGACTTCCATTAATTCCTTTATCATCTCTCCGAAAAAACCATCAAAGCATTCAAATAAGCTCACGAGCTCCATTAAAACAAGGCTATGGGCCTTCATTTTAATCTCCTTTGTGTTCTTCACCATAAAAATGGCTTTCAGACTTGACCCATTTCTCCCTCTATCTCATTACCCATGTTCTCTCTCTAGGGATTCTTCATCTGTGGGTCAGGTTCCATTAAATGTTTCTCAAACTCCATTGAACGAAGATTACGGGGAGGCGGCGAGAGAGTTTTGGGCTCAACCAGATGGGTTGGGGTATAGGCCTTGCTTGGGTTTTAGCAGGGAGTATAAGAGAGAAAGTGGGGTTATGGTTAGAGAGAGAAAGAAATATTTGATGGTGGTGGTTTCAGGGGGGTTGAATCAGCAGAGGAATCAGATTGTTGATGCAGTTGTGATTGCTCGGATTCTTGGTGCTGCTTTGGTTTTACCCATATTGCAGGTCAATGTTGTCTGGGGCGATGAGAGGTAAGCTTGCATTGATTCCCTCTCTTATTTCTCTCTCTAAAAATTTTGTTTCAGGTTTTTTTTTTTTTTCTTGTAGTGCAGGAGTCCTCTTTCTCTCTTTAAACCCACCTGCACCGATCTTCTTTCGTTTGTTGTAGTTTGATGGTTCTTTCTCTCTCTCTCTTCTGCACAAGACTCAGGTTTTCTATCGTGTATTAGAGTTGAGTTTGATCATTTGATGGCTCTCTCTCTAAGATATTCAAGAACAATAACTATCTTTATCTCTCTAATATCTATGCTTGAACTCTTTTTCTCTCTCTACGATTGTGATGATATTTCTCCTGCGAATTTTCAGATAGATTGCGTTTCGTTTTTGGGAAAACGGATTTCAATTTCTCAGGGCCAGTTTTGCAAATTTTATTGGATTCAGATTACCCATGACTTCTTTTGTATGACCGAATAGTCCCGGACTATTTTGAGTGGGTCAATGGGCCTAATTTGAAATCTGACGGAAGAATACTAACGATCTCTTTTTATAAAAAAACAAATGGTCTGGTTATATACTTTTCCAATAAATTGTTCATATATTGCTATTGTATAAACTTCTCCAATAAATTATTCATATCTTTCAAAAATTTAAAGACCAAAAGAAGTCGTAGTTTCTTTGCTTCCTTCTTTGCAAGCTGTTTTCCGCTGTCCAAATAATAAAAAAACAAAAAATGCGCCGACACACGATACGTATTTTTGCGAAATCCGTAGCTTTTGGGGGCATATCATTCATTTACTCAATGCATAAACAACAGTCATAATACTTAATTTTGTTCTTTAATCCGTTTGGAAAATTAAGGTATGTGATTTTCGGTTTGTTCAGTTTCTTCTTCTAAAAAACGCTGTATGGCTTTGGGTAAAGAAAATGAAAGTGGGACCCACCACGATCTAGACGGCGCCGATCTGTTCTATACTCTGCAGTGTGGTATTTAAGTGGGGCGTTTAAAATAGTTAATATTTTGATTTGCTAAAGGAATTTATTACGGATGGATTCAAAAACTCAATTTATCTCATGGAATTTAATGCTTCTTTATGGTTTGTTTTGTTGATTATTATGTGTTTTTATTAGCTGATGGAGCTGTGAATTTGCGTAAATTTTGGACCAGAACGGCCATATCACCTGTTTCTCTTTGTCTCTTGGTCACACACACCCGAACACTCAACACAATTCAAATTTGTGACTGATTTGTCGAATTTTATTTTCTTCTTAAAGTCGATTGTATTACTAATAGGCCTTTTCTTAGACAGTGAGTTTTCGGATATATTTGATGTGGAGCATTTCAAGAAGACCCTCGAGTGCGATGTGAGGATCGTTTCCTCTCTTCCATCCACCCATCTCATGACAAGGCCTGTCGAAGAGAAGCGAACTCCTCTTCATGTCAGTCCTAGCTGGATTCGCTCTAGATATCTTAGGAGGGTACGTTTACTTTATTGTAGTTAAATTTTTATTTATACCCGTCAATTTTTTCTAATGCTTAGATGAATAAATAGGTAAATGTATAAATAAATGTGTAGATTTCTGGTTCTCTGCTGCTGTTTCGTCTTAAGTTTAATACCACAGCTCTTTTCAATGACCCAGCCAAGTGCCCTGTTTACTTGTGAGGGAGGAGGCCAAACCTTTTGCTAATGATGCATACAAAAGTTTATTTTTTTGTATCTACTAATTGGTTGTTGAATGCCACTGTCTTTTTTTATCTAATTCTCATTTTTCTTAGGGAAATTTGTCAAAATCCCCATAAGCGATGAAATATTTAACATTTCGCCCAATCGCAACTACTACAAATTCAGGACCATATGTTTTTCTTTATGGCTCTTTTTATTTATTTATTTTTTTTTGAGAACTTTATGGCTCTTTTTAAATTAAATCACAAGATTTGGGTAAAATGTTAAATTGTTCATCTCTTGTGAGCAATTTGATAAATTTCCCTTTTTAAAATTTTGGCTTTTCGAACATTTAACATTGGATGCCAATGGCTCATTCTTTTAGTTGCTTGCTGATTTCAAAACTCTAAGATTCAATATTTGTTTGTTGTTTACTCAACGAAACAAAATCAATTTTTCATTAAGTTGGTGACACGCTAAAAACTAAATTGCTGTAATCTACGCTTTTGAAGTTTAATTTTACCTTTCAAGGAACCTTCCTTTCTGTTTGTGTCTCTCACGATTTTTTGTTTTTTGGTTGCAGCTTAACAAAGAGGGTCTTCTTCTGTTGAGGGGTTTGGATTCTAGGCTCTCCAAGGACCTCCCTTCAGATCTTCAGAGGCTTCGTTGCAAGGTACCATCTAAGCTCTCAACTCTCCATGTATATATATGAGTATGCATGCATTCATGCATCTATGTAGGTGTCTGTATGTATTTATGAATGAATTTAGCTGTATCTGTATTCAATATTACATCAAGCTTTCTTACCATGTGCATGCACATGCCCAACAACAGTACACAATGTTTGTGAGCAAAGGATCTGTTCACTAATGGCAAGCACCACACATTATACCTTCTTAGCTGGTGCGTTTACATGCACATGTACATTCACATGCCCGTTAAGACCACAGTGGTTCAAGCATAATCTACTGTTGTCTGATGACAAGCAACCAAAAAGCTAGAGTATTATTACTTTTAAATTAAAATGCTTAGTCTTTGCTCTCTTATTGGAGGTCTCATATTATATATATCATGAAAACAGCATTTTAGGCATGATGTTACTACTGTCAAACACAAAGCATACACATATTTGTCGGGTCCCCCATGCTATTATTTTGAATGTTCATAAAAATAACTTCAATAGTTGCTTTCCCAATGAAGGTCTTACATTGCTCATAGACATGTATATGGTTTTCTATACATAATCTTACAGTTCTCTTTTAGCATTATGGCTCTTTTTATCGGCCTACTCTTAGTAGCTTTTATTTTATAGCTTTGGAAATAGAGGATGCCCGTTGTTTTTTGTGAAGTATTTTGGATATAGGGCAGTAAGGCTTGATCCGGTAGTTAAGATTGGTTTACTTTTTCTTTTAATGAGTGAAGTTAATAATCAGGAATTGTTGGTTCAGGTGGCTTTTCACGCATTGAGATTTTCGAGTGGTGTTAGAGAGATAGGGGAGAGAATTGCAGAGAGGATGAGGAGAAAGGGGCCTTACATTGCGCTCCATTTGAGAATGGAGAAGGATGTGTGGGTGAGAACAGGGTGCTCACCTGGTCTGAGCCATGAGCACGATAAGATGATCAATAGAGAGAGAAGGGCTCGCCCTGAGCTCCTCACTGCCAGGTCCAACATGACTTACCATGAACGGAAACTTGCCGGTCTCTGCCCCTTAAATGCCATGGAAGTTGCGAGGTGGTTATCTCTCTCTCTCTAATGAGAAAAGCTCATCCAACTTTCTCAAAATGAAAAAGATTGTCAATATAATTTTTTTGAATTTCCATTACTGTATTCAATTATTTCTAAATGCTGTTTTCTTTTTATTTTTCTCAGGCTACTTAAAGCACTCGGTGCTCCAAGAAATGCAAGAATATACTGGGCTGGTGGGAAACCATTTGGTGGATTGGAAGCTTTGCAACCATTGATTAAGGAGTTCCCAAACTTCTTCAACAAAGAGAACCTCTCATTACCAGGAGAGCTCGAGCCCTTTGCTAACAAGGCTTCCCTTCTTGCTGCCATAGACTACATTGTCTCTGAGAGTAGTGATGTCTTTATGCCCTCTCATGGGGGGAACATGGGTCATGCTATTCAGGTATGTTGATCCGATGTAAAAATTGGCCCACTGTAGCATTCATGTTTTATTCTGGTGGCTTTCATTTCCACTCATTCACTGTCCATCATTTCCATATTAAATGGGATACAATGTTGTCCCCTATGAAAGATACCTCCCTTAACCAATTGTTCCTTATTCTTGACAAAAACCTGAGGCTTTCTCATCTTTGGTTGCAGGGACATAGAGCCTATGCTGGTCACATGAAGCATATAACCCCCAACAAGAGAGAGATGCTCCCTTACTTTTTAGACAACTCCTTACCTGAATCTGAGTTCAACCGAGTCATCAAGGAACTCCACAAGAACTCATTGGGTCAACCGGATATTCGAACTGGAAAAACAGGCCGAGATGTGATTGCCTACCCTGTTCCAGAATGCATGTGCAATGATGCTAGTAGAAGTGGCAATTTCCATAAGAGATAAGGACAGTATACTGAGGATGATGTGAAAATCCATGGCCTTTGGGACCATCACGGTCTCATTGTCCATTGCAATGATGGATAATGATGGAGAGAGAATGGGATCTATTGAAATGAAACTATATCCCATTGGTGATCTTCATCACCTTGCATCATATCAATAAGTGGACCACGAGGACTATACAGTATTCGATTCTCTTTGGCTTCCCCTTTGTATGTTATCGCTCTTGCCCTAGAGACACATGTGGATCAAATCATGGTTGACTTCATCTTAGTGTTTGCATGCATGGACTGATGCCTGCATGTGCATTTGCTTGTGCATGTACACATGCTTTTGTATTTGTACATCTCCGCATATTAGCCTTATAGAACAGTAGTGCGACATTGACAAGTAGGTGGTTCGATCAAATTGGTTTTTGTGTTCAAGATCACTGAGGTATTTGGCTGATGAGTGCTTCTTATATTTGTGTATGCATAGAGGTTCTTACAGTGAAGAAAATGTGGTAAATGTCAGCTCAAGGAAGATGAATTGGTGAGATACGAAGGCTCAAAAGATTTAAGAAAATCATTATTTGGGCCGCTTTTCTTTAGCTGAGAAGAGATAGGCAATTGAAGATGGTTGGCATTAGTAGTTTAGTTTTTTTTTTCTTTCTTCCCTTCCTGGTATTGGAAGGGAATTTTGGGGGCTATTCATTTATTCTTTGTACTGTAAATATACTTATGAAGCATTTATACAGATAATTTTTGGTAACAGAAGTCTCTTGTCCCTCTCTCTTTCTCTCTTCCAAGCACACAGGTTATACATTTATGGAGTTTTGGTGGCTCCTATTTTCTGTTGCTATTGCTACTTGAATTTTGAGAAATGGAATTCCTGTGAAGTATTTGAAAAATTCTGAAGGAAATGGCTCAACAAGTTTTGCCTGGTTCAGATATAAACTCAGTTGGAATGGAGACTGCAAAACTGGTGAACAATAACCCTTAAGGGAATAACTGAAATCGATTTGACTGGTAAGCTTTCATTCTAGTATTTCATTCATAGAAGAAACTATGTAACTAAGTTTATTCTCCCTGTTGAACAGTATTCTGTAATACTGCGATCCAACATTGTATTTTGATGTTCACGTATGGCCTCATTTAAAGCATTTGGAGTTCTCAATTCATTGATCACAGCTTTAGGCAGCTTGGGAAGTGTTTTAGATTGAGGACTTGTGTTTCCTCTGAGAAAGATCTCTTGAAACGTTTACATCTTTAATTGGGTTGCTTTGCCTTTTCTCTAGAAGTATATTTGTTATTGAGACCTTTAAATGAACTCCACGCTTCCATTTAGTTCATTTAGAATCAAATCGTTACTCTGGTATCCTCGAAAGCATTTTATGGGTAACTCATGAAGTACTTCTTTAGAAGTAGGCCCTGTACATCCTCTATTTGCTTTGGAATCGTAAAGGGATGCCAATGCATTTCCCAGTGCATCTCTAGAGTTAGGAAAACGGAGGAGCCATGAGAGACCTTAATATTAAATAAAAACATTGCGTACTCTCTCTCTCTCTCTCAATTTAAGACTTGGTATTCACAAGAAAGGGAAGACATTTGAATTTGAAAGGAAGGTTCAGTGCTTTATCCCTGCCACATATCTGATGTGGGACAAGGGTTAACAACTTTCTGGTTCTCTCTTTGATGGAAAAGGGGGAGTGCTCTCTGTTCCTCGCTGGATAACCCCCCAAATAAGGTTCGTAGGTAATTTGCTCTTCTTTTAATGAGTGAAGGTAATAATCTGGAGTTGTTGGTTCACGTGGCTTTCCACGCATTGAGGTTTTCTAGTGGTATTAGGGAAGAGAGTTGCAGAGACGATGAGAAGACAGGAGTTGAGAATGGAGAAGGATGTGTGGGTGAGGGCTGAGATGATTAATAGAGAGAGACGAGCCGAGCTCCTCACTGCCCAGTCCAACATGACTTACCATGACCAGAAATCGCCTGTCTCCAACGAACTCCACAATAACTCATTGGGTCGACCCGAGATGGTGATGGAGAGAGAGTGGGATCTATTGAAATGAAACTATATTCCAATGGTTGGTTCGCTTTAGCTTCATCACTTTTCATCATGTCAATGAGTGGTGATGACCACGAGGACTATGGTATTACATTCTACTTTCCTGGAGAATTATCTCTGAATGAGTGAATGTCTTTTCATGATGATGTCCTATTTGCCCTCTCGGGCTTCCCCTTTGTATGTTATCCCTCTTGCCCTAGAGACACATGTGGATCATATTGTGGATGACTTCATCTTAGAGGTTCATGCATGGATGGATGCCTGCATGTTTATTGGTTTGTGCCTGTACACACGCTTTTGTATGCGTACATCTGCATATTAGCCTCACAGTATTGTAGTGTGACATTGGCAAATAGGTGGTTCAATCAAAATGATTTTTGCATTGAAGATCACTGAGGTATTTGGTCGATGAGTCATCATCATCAGAGCCTTTTTCCAACTATTTAGGGTCGGTTAGTAATTGGCCGATGGGTGCTTCTTGTATATGTGTGTATATGCATAGAGGTACTTGTAATGGAGAAAATGTGGAAAATGTTAGCCTGAGGAAGATGAATTGGTCAGATGAGAAAGCTCAAAAGGTTTAAGAATATCATTATTAAAGCTGCTTTTTTTTACCTGAGAAGATATGGGCAAGTGAAGATGGTTGGCATTGGTAGTTTGGTTTATTTTTTGTTCTTTTTGCCCTTCTTGGTATTGGAAGGCTAATATTCCATTCATTTATTCCTTGTACAGTATATATACTTATGAAACCCAATAACTAAGTTTATTTTCTACCATTTGATTGGTATTATGTAGAATTCTCCACTACGACATTGTAATTCGTTGTTCATATATGGGCTCATTTAAAAGCATTTGGAGTTCTCCATTCATTGGACACAGTTTTAGGCGGCTCAGAAGTGTTTTTGGCATTGAGAAATATCAGATCAAACCTTTATGTCTTCTATTGTGTTGTTTTCCATTTTCTCCAGAAATTGATTTGTTATTGAAACCTTAAAAGTAACTGCAGGCTCCCATTGAGGTCTTTTAGAACCAAATCACTACCCTAGTATCCTCTAGAGCATTTTATGGGTAACTCATGAAGCCCTGGAGTTCATTAGAATATCTTGGAAATTGTTTCCATTGCCCCTATACAATTCTTCTTTAGAAGGGGAGCCTCTACATCCTCTAGTTTACAATCTTAAGAGGACAATTTGCTTTGGAAGTCCAAAGGGATGCCGAGGCATTTCCATTCTCCGGAGTTAGGAGAAGGGAGGAGCCGAAAGAGACTTTGATATTTCACCCACACTTGTTGCAAATAGGTTTTGCCAGAATGGTTCATCATCAATGACAAAATCACTTCACCCTTATTAGAGCATTTTTGAAGCTTGATTGTTGATTCAGACGCTGCTCCAGTGAAAGCTTATGAGTTCAATGCTTAGGATCTGTAGGTCGAGTCCCTATCCTGTATGTACCTAATCTGATTTTTCATGAGGGGAGGTGTTCGATCCTTCATACCAACCTAACAATTTTTCGTTCTTGAAATTTAGTATTACCCTGAGCTCAATTTGCAAATCTTGAGCAAAAGAGTTTGGATGCAAGGAGTGATTTCCTTTGACATTAACATCGAAATTGAAAGTTGGTGCTATTACAAACCATAAACCAAGTTAACCAGCCACAGAGAGTGCAATTGATAAGGATCCTCAATATTTAATTGTAATTGGACATTGTAAGTATTCTTGTTGACGAAAGATATATATTTGTTTTAATATATACACTGTGCATTATCACATAATCCAATATTTCACCTTTCCCAAGTATTTTTGGTTGGCTAAAATTTAGCCGATGAGTGCTTCTTACATATGTGCATGCATAGAGGTGCTTGCAATTGAGAAAATGTGGAAGACGTTAGCCCAAGGAAGATGAATTGGTTAGATTTGAAACCTCAAAAGGTTTAAGAATATCACTATTTGAGCTGCTTTTCTTTACCTGAGAAGCCTCCCCTTACCTCAAGGAATGACTGGAAAAAATTTTGGCTGGTAAGTGTTCTATCTGGTATTTCTTTGATAGAAGAAACCCTGTAACTAAGTTTATTTTACCTATTGAATGGTATTGTGTATAATTCTGCGCTCCGACATTGTAATTTGATGTTCATATATGGGCTCATTTAAAAGCATATGGAGTTCTCCATTCATTTTACACAGTTTTAGGCGTTGGAAGTGATTTAGATTGATGGTGTTGGCATTGAGAAACATCAGATGAAACTTTTATGTCTTCTATTGTGTTGCTTTGCATTTTCTCCAGAAATTGATTTGCTATTGAAACCTTTAAAAGTAACTGCAGGCTTCCATTTAGTTCTTTTTCAACCAAATCATTACCCTAGTATCCTTGATAGCATTTTATGGGTAACTCAGGAAGCCTTGTTCATTGAAATATCTCGAAATGTGTATCCATAGCCCTTATACAATACTTCTCTAGAAGGGTATCCTATACATCCTCTAGTTTACAATCTTAAGATGACAATTTGCTTTGGAAGCTCAAAGGGATTCCCATGCATTTCCCAGTGCATCTCCAGAGTTAGGAGAATGGAGGAGCCAAAAGAGACCTTGATATTACTTGTTGCAAGTGGGTTTTGCCAGAACGGTTCATCAGTAATGGTAAATATTCAGAACTTTGGTTGATTCGTAACAAGTCACCTCACCCTTTTTAGAGCATTTTTAAAGCATGATTGCTGATTCAGAAGCTGCTCCAGTGAAATCTTATGAGTGCAATGCTTACCTGTGGTATAGGATATTCAAGTCACGCCCCTATCTTGTACGTACCTGACTGGTGGTAAAACATCTGATTATTCATGAGGGGAGGTGTCGATCCTGGAATTTGTTATAATTGCAACCCATACCAACCTAACAATTTTTCCTTTCTTGAAATTTAGAATTACCCTGACCTCAATTTGCAAATGGAGAGAAAAAGAGATTGGATGCAATAAGTTATTCCTTTTGACACTAGCGTCCTTCGAGAAAGATTTTACAAAATTTCATAATAATGCCTGCATGAAGACCATAATTTACAAAATCTAGAAGGGCATGTATAATATAAAGTAATGAGATGTCCATAATTTGTTCCCTTAAATGGGTGGTAGAGATGAGCATAGCACTGATAAGCGTGACCAGTACTTTGTGTGTTCTGTTTGTAGCGTATAGCTAGTTAGTATCACATTGGCTCTTGATGAAGCTTTATAAATCGGAAACATGTTACCATACTGGGCCCCTCTTCCCACTTCCAGTATTGATAAATTTTGCCCCATGCATGTTAATGAGATCTCCTGGGAAGGCCTCTCTGTCGAGACGGCATGTCAATTTGTAAATATAAGAGCTAAGTTCCATAGAGTACTTTCCAGGTGAGAAGATGGTCATTGATTAGGCTCTGTCGAGCTAAGGCATCGATCTCCATCGTGTATCGGAGATGGGGTTTCAGCAGCCTGTATATCGGGTGCATGGCACTCAGTTAGCAGTTAGCAGCGATCACGTATGGCTCACAACAACAATGTGTCCTCAACCTGCCAAGATTAGGACTAATTTGATCATATAGAATAGTGATGCCTATCTTGGCTCTCCCTTTGGGCCCGTTTGGATAGAGGAAATTAGGAATATTAAATATTTAAAATCTAAGGAAATCTATGGATTTTCAATATCAAGGATTTTTGTCATAGATTCCTCAAATTTCTCGTTTGAAG